AAAAAAGATTTATCAGAAAACTTTTGTTCGAGTCTCTTCGCCTTCCACCACTTTTTCTTCTACATTGATCCTCATAGTACTATATACCCAAATAAAGTACTAATAAGTATCATATCGAGCCACCTTGAAGAGATGAAAGTAGTACGGAAAACTACATTAAGTGGCATGGAATATCAGAGACTTATTTTCAAAACATAAAAGCTTTCTTGCAACGTATCAATGTTTAATTCATAATGATCTTACTGATAGTTGCACATTCATTCCATAAGATTTTAAATTGATTTGTTATTTTGAAAGCATCTTTACCATAGAATCTTGTTTTTCTTCTCTAATCGAAAAAATGAATCTCTCAAACGTTCGTTTTTTTCTGCGTTGTTCTAGTAAACCATTTTTGAATGTTTGGATTCAAAACTTTGTTGTTCGTGAAAATGAAATTTAATAAATGTATGAACTAAATATAGCAAGCAGAGTAATTAATCATTTTGGCCTCGGACTCACTTTGCTGATCGTAAGAGAGATATGGTTACCCAACCCAATCTCAATCTCTGTCATTTCTACTGAGATTCCGAAAAACACTGATTTATATCTATGCCCTTTACTTTTTGCAAGGTATATTCCAATTTTGATGGAATATCATCAGTTTTTTCGATACTCTATTACGATGCTTTGTCGATATACATATATAAGGATCTTGATGGGTACAAATGAATAAAAACTGTGACATGTTTCTGTTCGCTTGTTGTAAAAACACACTGATGTTCCAATATCAAATGTTAGACGTAATACAATATATGTCAAAATTATCAGAATAATGCCTGAAATACAAAAGAGAACGTCAACTGAGTAGGTACAATTATGGCTTCGACTTAATGGAGCTTATCTTCATAGTACGGTTATCAAGAATGGTTTATTCATTTTTCAGCTATCAACAATCTCCGAAAATAAATTATGAAAATTTACTATAAACTTCTGAATATGAGGTGTATAGCAATCTAAATAAGCGAGATAGTGACTTTATCTTTCTTTCAAATGACAGTGTTTCATCAGGAAAAGAAAGTGGAGACTTCTGAGATCTACCATGGAATAAGAACGAAAATGCAAGTGATTAAGAAACGAATGGTTGTAATTTAGTCAACCGTACAGCATGTGTACGTCCTTCGTAGACGATATGAAATCGAGCCCATTTGCCAATCATTAAAAAAGGTCGCCCATGAATGTGACCATGATACAATTCCGATGAGCTTCGTTCCGAAACGGATGATGGCAGCAGCAACATCTGATCAACAAAATCTTGACCAATTGGAGCCATCCTACATGTACTCAGTATTATTCAAAGAAATTGTGCTGGAAATTAAGGAAGACGATGCTAAGCCTTTGAATGATCTGGTCGTCTACTGTCGTAACAAAGGTATTCCTGAATCAGAATTAAAGGAATTTCAGCATAACTACCAGAAGAAATCGCCAATCTATTGGTATACATGTGAAATGTTTCTCTATGGCATGCTCAACTATGCTTTACGGTCACTCGACATGCAGATCATGACAAAAAAGGGTTTTTTCGTCCGAAATCTTCACCAACAACTGGAACAACTACATAGAGAACAGTCAAGTATGTATACGAAAGAATTTATTGTTTATCGTGGTCAGGGGCTCACCAAAGAAGACTTTCAGCATCTACTCGACACAAGAGGTGGACTCCTCTCGTTTAACAATTTCTTGTCGACTAGTAAAAAACAACAGGTAGCTTTGGACTTTGTTCAACGCGCATTACAAAAATATGAAGATCACGTAGGAGTTCTATTTATTATGACAATTGATTCAAATAATGTTTCAAATTCTCCATTCGCCCTTATCGATGAATACAGTGCTATTAAAGGCGAAAAAGAAATTCTATTTTCGATGCATACTGTCTTTGGCGTCGGTGAAATGAAGCAGACAGTAAACAATAGTCGTCTCTGGGAAGTTCAATTAACTCTCACAGATGAGAATGATCCACAACTGGCTATCCTCGCCAAACACATGCGAGAGGAGATCAACGGCAGCGGATGGTATCGAATGGGTCTACTGATGCTGAAAGTGGGTCACTTCAATCAAGCTGAAGAACTCTATAATGAATTACTCAAGAACGCTTCCAATGACGATGATAAAGCATATATCTATCACCAACTGGGATGGGTGAAAGCCGACCAAGGACAGTACAAAGAAGAAGTTTCATATTATGAGAAATACCTCGAAATTAAGCGAAAAACTGTTCCGGAAGATCATTCTTCATTGGCTAATACCTACAACAACATCTGTCTTGCGTATAGAAACATGGGTGACTACTCGAAAGCACTTGACTTTTACGACAAAGCACTTAAAATAGAAGAAAAAACTCTGCCTCCGAATCATCCCTCATTGGCTGCTTCATACAACAATATCGGTCTTGTGTATGCCAACATGGGTGACTACTCGAAAGCACTTGAATTTCAAGAAAAAGCACTTAAAGTCTACGAAAAAACTCTGCCTCCGAATCATTCCTCATTGGCTATTTCATACAACAATATCGGTGGAATGTATGACAACATGGGTGACTACTCGAAAGCACTTGAATTTTACGACAAAACACTTAAAATAGAGGAAATAACTTTGCCTCCGAATCATCCCTCATTGGCTACCTCATACAATAACATCGGTCTTGTGTATGGCCGCATGGGTGACTACTCGAAAGCACTTGAATTTTACAACACAGCACTTAAAATACAAGAAAAAACTCTGTCTCCGAATCCTCCCTCATTGGCTGCTTCATACAACAACATCGGCATGGCGTATTCCAGTATGGGTGATTATTCGAAAGCACGTTCATTTTTAGAAAAGACACTTGCAATCTTCCAAAAATCGCTCCCACCAACACATCCTGGTATTAAACGAGCGATAGATAATATTAACTATGTGAAAAAGAAGATGTAAATCTGTTTTTTTTCATTGACTTGCTCAATAAATTTCTTCGCATTGCTATTCACTTTCTTTTGGCTTATTATCACGTGCACACGCTCGCGACCAGAGAGATTCCCTGTAAGCCTGAAATGGGTACACACAAAGCGGACCACGCTGGACTAGTAGGGCAATGAACGGTAGGTATGACAAAGAATAATGACGACAGGGACCTATTAACATAGCAGCCTTCCAGAGTACTACACTGCTTTCGCTATAACAGGCACAAGAAATCTCCCTGGATTAGGTTACGAAGCTACCTTTCAAGGCTGTGATATAATATGAGACCTCAACTACTACTAGACAATAACATAGCTATTGTCAAAGAAAAAGAATTTTCTGTTTTTTACTTTCATATATTACAATGAATACATTCATGTAAGCTATTTAAAGAAAATAAGAAACTATTCCATCCGGAATAGAAGGCATGTCTAACTCATAAATAAAAATTATCGTCAGAAGTCCTATTGGTCACTAGGACTTCTAAATTTTATATCCCTTCTCTCAATTTCAAAAAAAAAGAAACCAACTTAACTTATACTACTCTATTATTTTATCTCTTCTGAATAGAAAAAATTCAAGCAACATTCTTGTCTTGCTTGTTGTATTGATCATGTAAATATTATTGTAATTCATTATATAATATCGATAATAATAGGATCGACCGAAACGATAACATCGAAGTCGATAATTCAACTTCGGAACATTGTAAACAATTTTGTTGTAATATAATATAATATTTATAATAACTTATTATGATTCACTGTTATTGTAAAAACTTTTAGTAATAATTCTAATGTATGTAAGTAATGATATGCTAGCATATGAATGTATAAATTTCATTATAATAAATTCCATAATTATTAAAATATTTGTATATTACACCTCTTGAAAGAAAAAAGTTTATTAGAGTACTTAATGCGTTGACAATGAAATATTCGATTGAACAGAATGATTTCATATATGGAAATCATTCTTTATATATATATGTTTTGCAAACATGAACTGTCAGTCAATGATGATCATTGATGAATAATTAATCAATGATATTGTAATTTTTTTTCTTTGTATCCGTTAGAAAATTGATCATCGAAGACGAAGAAAAAACATTGACGAGATAAATATTTTGATTGTTTTCGTTGACGATCAATTTATCACTACTCTACAATGTTTTCATTTATTTTTTTTTTCTAAGCTTTTTTGTAAAAAATTTCGAGGTATGGGTGTGGATGTGAATGCACAGTACTTATTCTATTCGCACCACACCCACAATCATATCTTGCATCGTATATATAGTATACAGTTATTTTAACTAAAATATAATATGATTCAATGTCATCATTAACTAAAAATATTATTTTTATTTTAATATTTAAGAAAAAATTCTACAATGAATAAAAATTGATCTACAGCATTCAAACAATCACTTTATATTCAACCAAACGAGAGAAAAAAAAAGAATTGTTGATGAACAAAATGATTCTAGTCTTTAGTATCTAAATGATAATACGTTTAACATTTGACCACATGATATGATCAACATTTATTTGAACATGTTCAACTTGTAAATTACTTGATCATGAATGAGGTAAAAAAACTCTATTAGCAAAGAAAAAAGACTTAATTTAATTTATAGAAAGGGCTCCATTTTTCATTTTATCTAATCATTCTTTTACCGTACTCGAAATGCAATACATATATTAGATCGATTTCACTTAAAAACATCAAATAGAATTCACACTTTAAACAAAAATGAATTCTACATCATTGGTTTTTTGAATATATTGTATATCTGATGTTAAATCGCTCACAAGACATGTACATCTTTGTAATGAATTATTAACATTTTGTCATCTTTGAAAAAATTTAACTTCTTTTTTTTTTACAATATAATGTCGAATAGGTGGTGTCACATAATATAAGCATACTGTTTAATTGTTCACATAAACAA